ATAAAAGGGTTTAGTTCGTTGACATATGTACAATACCATAATTATAGCATGTTTAACCACAATTTTGCTCTTGAGGCAGACCTATGATGTTTTATTTTAGTCCCTTCTTACGTAATTTTCGTTTCATACTAATATGCTATAAGCCATCCCTTTTGCATTAATGAATCACTTCAATATTTCTTCAGGCTATAATCTATTTGCCGAGCAGTTTATCATTTTAAATCAATGAATATCGTCTGGCAATTTTCGTTCTAAATGCACTGCATGCATGTTTGTGTTCCTGGGTACTTGAGTTCGACCACAATTATATAGTTGTTGTTCAAAACCAAAGACTGCATGCGTGGGCCTGACTGGGCATGGATATAGCTGAAGAATAAAAATCAGTCTATTGATTCATTCACAGTTTGAACAATTTTATATGAATTTGAAGATTAAGTTCCTTTATTTGCACGAAATGTGTGAAAGACGTTCACATGCACTGAAACTGTTTGAACTTTTGAATTATATCCATGCATGCATGCATCGTTGGAACTGATAAAACACAGCTCTGGGCATAAAGCACCGCTCCATGCATATACGTCTTAATCATATAAGATCATAATTATAGTATCATCCAAGTAATCCATGCACCTTTTAGCACACAACTTGATCATAATATGACTGATTTTGCTATACTCGACCTTCGTATATAGACATGCATAAACCGATCAGTAATGTCCGGGTTTGCAATCATGCAGAGTTAAGATCAAGTTCCGCAACAAATTCATAACTTAATTGCATGACAATGAGTTAAAATTGTATTTATATATATACTAACTAAAATCAAATATGGTGTATACTTAAAGAAATGTAGCTATATTGGGTTTAACTGCATGTGTTTAACTTGAACTAGTTTATACCATTCTGAGAGTTGTAGATTCAGTATAAATTCATCTCATGCAGCATTTGCTTATCAAAATGGCCGCTACATTTGTTTTTCTTTTCCTCGTAAATTTATTTAACTTTGTAATCTTACATTTTATATTGTAGTTCAGCATGTTTCTGCAGTAATTGTATCGGTTTATCATTTAAAAGCTGTACGCCCTGAGCTTTGAGAGGCCCGTGAGTTTTGGAGCTTATATCGCTTATAACTCTTGTGTTGGCAATTTTTGTTCTAGCTAAATTAAGCAATGAAGTAATTAAGAGAGGTGGTAATCGTGGTAAATCTAATCCAGACCATCGATGTAATTTCATGCTAGCTGTACATTCTGGAATCCTGTTCGAGGCAACGAGTTATTTGACGTCTTATAACGGTGTCAGTTTAACATAAAAAACAAGTGATTTCACTCATAACTAAATTTTGTATAGCATTAAAAATATCTAGCGAACTAGTGATCAATCACTGCTTGCCATCAAAATGCATGCTCTTCGATCTAATACACGATAATTCCACGACAATACTGCATGTCGCATGGATCCTGAGTTTATGTATGTAGTATAGAGTCAATGTTTTCTCCATGCCCACAAAAGCTTTATATATAGTCACATAAACATCGCGCGTTCGAATAACTGTCTTAATTTTATTATATTTGTGTACAAACACATTGCTATACATGATTAAAATTAAGGCGAATAAACGAAGGGTACTGCAGTATAACGCTTCATACATGCAAGTCTTGTGAGGCCAATACATACATATCGACTTGGTCAATTTTTAGTAGCTCTCAGAAGCGAATGAAGTTCATCGTGATAGAATATCTCAGCGAATTACTGCATGAGCAACAGTGCATTTTGACTTATCAAGTCTTCATGATCGCAGATTTCGAAACAGTTCTTTGAGGAAACTGGAAAGATTTTAGCTTAAGAGAATCCGAAAAAAATGCGAGCCATATATCGCCCTTCGTGGTTTTTTACGGGCTTTAAGGCCGATCCTGCGCTAGGCTACATCATCATGTGAACATATTCAAGCAAGAATTACAACTCACCGGGTATGCTTCAGAATATGTCACGAATTTAGAAACTGTGCGATCTTTTCATCTCATATCTCCGTTGGTTCATTGATCTGGCGTTTTTCCGCCGAAGAATCTTTCTATTTCACGTAGTTTGTAGGCTTGGTCTCCTCGTTAAACTTCATATAACACAGATAGCTAGCTTTTAAATCGCTCCGTGATGTTAGAGCCGATATATCATTAGCCTTCCATGAGTAATCTTGCCATTTCTTGGCAGGAAATACACGCTATAAACGTACAAAAGGTTTTGAAATGAAGTCAATATTACTGCGAATGTAACACGTAAATCAAAGTTACTATTGACATAGAGTTTCAAGAGGTTTCCCTTACCAATGTGACGGAATTTTTGTCTTCGCTCAGCTCTGGTTTGGTATAATGTAACAATTTAACATAACAAAAGCTCAGTTCAAGTTTAAATTTGTTTTTCGGCCCTCTTGCTGTGAAATAGATTATAGGTTTCTCGCATTATGTATGCAGGCTTTTCTCCATTTGAATAGCGCGACACAATACTTCGTATAGCGCACTGACAGAGCTTTGGAAATGGTCACAATGGGTGCTATATGTTGCCGTCTCAATATTGAAGTGTATACCGACTTGACTATATATCGTTGGTAAATCGATCTTTAGTTTTGTGCGCGATGATAGGTACCCGCCCTTGCGATTCTGTGAGTTTTCTAGCTGTTCTTCCTTAAAATAACATATATAGGCTTATATAGCAGGCAATTTCGGTGTAGTTGGTTCGCAATTAATGAGTCTCGGTATAATCATAATATATTTAAATAGAATCATATTATATTTGAATAGAGTATATATGTTTATAGACTATAGGATACTCTTTTATTTGTGCAAGGTTATATATCCTGCCAAAGTATCGATCTTTCCCAGCGGCCGTAAACTCTATATAAAACTGGATCGATACTGCTATTCAAACGGTATTATAGGCTAAAGACATTTCAAACTGGTAGAAATTAATCAATTTACAAGCTCTTGCATGTTTTATAAGCAATTTGTATTTCATTTTTCTTCGTTTAATTTCAGTTTTCTCAAACGAAATTTCAAACGAGTTCATGAAATCATAATATTATTGTTGAATTCGAAGTATGAAACACGAGACTTTATGTCATTTTTTACGAACCATGCAAATCGTTGAAATGGGCTGATTTTGAATGTCAATGTACGTTTTATAAGAAAGACACTCTCAGCTATAGCCTAAAGTTCCATTTTTGGCTGCATAGTTTGTCCAAGGTGGTCATTTTCCACCAAATCCTTAAGGAAAATCGCTGCATTTTATTTATGCGATAAAACTATACCATAGACATAGTCTACGACGTGATCATAACACAATCACCTTCTATAGTTGTTAAGCAATTATTTGACGTGGTATATAAAAAATAGCAATTTTTTATCAAGCAGTTTGAGTTCTATATTTACAAATGAAACCTTCGTTTGGAATGTTTCGCATTTCTATTAGCATATGACCTTCTATATAACTTTGTAACATTTATAGTACGCGCGTGATGATTGGTCGAGAAGCGTGTTTTTATAACTGTATTGGTGGGTTTCACGTATTGTTTTCGTAGTGATTTGAGTGGGGGTCAACCTTAATTGCTTCGACCCTTATGCTGAGCAAGAGTGAGCAATGATGTCACATGCATGAAACCCAAGAATAGAACCACGGGACTTTTCCCGCCGAAATTGACAAGCGAAGTTATGTAATATTGTAAGCGAAGTAATATTTGTACAAAACCTTTTTTTGAGTTATATTGAGTTCCCACTGATTATTTCTCGTTCTCCCAAACTCCCAGGCGTATTTCTCGAACTGTGTAGAAACACAGAAAATGTTTACTATTTCTTAATATTTCTTAAATATTTGTCTACGAGGGCTGACTATTTTTGCATAATTATTCCGGCTCCATTTTTTTACTGATGTATAATTGCTATTTCCTCTTCTGTCGCAATTAACGTCTGAGTCTGCATGAGCTCACCTTCAGCGACCGAAACTTATAAAACGATTTTTAACGACGGTTTACTATATTATAGTATGTTATAGTTTGTATATTCTACTGATCATACTCACGTGAGACCTTTCATCATAGTGATGTGCCGCGCCGGTTGTATAATACAGTACAAAGTCAAAGAGAACTTGAATGTTTCGTAACTACAAAATAACCAACGTCTTTGAACGACTTCTTGTCAATGAAATATCGTATAAAAACATCTTAAAATAAACAAGAAAACTTGATATTTCGACTAAAGGCTTAAATGGGTAACTTGGTATGAAAGTTCCTGCTAGGAACTGTTGATGGAAATGCTGTGGATGCATGTATTGTTTTATTTTCTATACTGTACCGTTCTGTACCGTACTGTACCGTACTTTACTGCGCTGTACCATTTTGTACCGTACTGTACTGTACTGTACTGTATTGCGTTGTACTATACTGTACTGTACTGTACTGTACTGCGCTGTACCGTACTGTATTGTACTGTACTGCGCTGTACCATACTGTACTGTACTGTACTGTACTGTACTGTACTGTACTGTACTGTACTGTACTGTACTGTACTGTACTGTACTGTACTGTACTGTACTGTACTGTACTGTACTGTACTGTACTGTACTGTACTGTACCGTACTGTACTGCGCTGTACCGTACTGTACTGTACTGCGCTGTACCATACTGTACCGTACTGTACTGTACTGTACTGTAGTGCGCTGTACCATACTGTACTGTACTGCGCTGTACCATACTGTACTGTACCGTACTGTACTGTACTGTAGTGCGCTGTACCGTACTGTACTGTACTGCGCTGTACCATACTGTACCGTACTGTACTGTACTGTACTGTAGTGCGCTGTACCATACTGTACCATACCGTATTGTACTGTACTGTACTGTACTGTCTGCGCTGTAGCATACTCTCCGTGTATTGTTTATCAAAGTTCTAATTCCTACCATATTGTCTATCATTTCCTATATTATTTTTAAAATAAAGCTTTTTGTCGATTTTCTACAGCAGTTAAAAATCCATCAAATTTAAAAAAACTAAGAGCTTTTAGCAAAAAATCACACATGTTCAAATGCATATAATACAATTTGCAGTAAAAATAAGGTCACTATACTTTATTTACAGCAGTTTTTTCTAAAGGAGTGTTTATCTGTGTAGTTCATCAATAGCCCATCGTCTTTTTGCGAAAGTTCCACTAAACATGCATATAGGTATAAAGTCCAATATTTCAAGACACCTGCATTATCGGTAATAATTCCCGTTCCGACGGTCACTTATGCAAATTTGAAGTTAGTAAACGATGTGGGCGAAAGAAACGAAAGCTAATGCCACATTTTTACTTGTTCGTTTAGGGGAAATTTGAACTATGAAGTTTGCACGCTTTTTTTATCCGGTTAAATTGCTTATTTCGCGAAAGTTGTCTACCTCAATAAGAGCTTACCGAAGCACTTTAAGAGCATCGAGCATATTTCGTATTTTATGTCATAATAAAACACTTGGCGCGTTTTACAGGCGATAAAACACTCGAGTTTCCATTATCGCGTTTTCCTATCTGCCACCGGTTCTCGAAATGCGTTCGCAACAAGCGAGTGTTTATTGACAAAATGTCCTTTCAAATTTGAAGCAAAGACCTTTTTCAGTACAATTGCCGTCAAAGTCGGCTACAATATTCATGATTTAGCTCCCGTCTTTGAATACTTTATCGCCAATTTGAATGAAAAAAAATGTGTTTAGTTTTCGAGGGATTGATTAATTTAATTATGTACATCCAATTAATGAATAATAAATATCTACATATTTTTATATCGCTATAAGTCGAAGGCATCCAGCATCCACGACCATATTAGAAATATAACACTCAGTAGCACGCCGAATAATGGTTCCATCGCTTCCCCTATAGCGAAAAAGAAAGAAGTCAGTCGTGAATGATAATAATTGCATGTTCCAATATACTGCATGCATATCAGCCAATCAGATGATATCTTTTTATAATTCCCTAAGGCTTTTTTGATAACGTCTTAGCCTTATCCAATCAAATCGGGCCAACTTAAATACTCGGTGCTTGAAAATTTAACATGCATGAAAAGCTATATGAGTTGATCGCTTCTCATGCAGGTAAGAATTTTTCTCATCGTATATTTAGCATATATATCGCTATTTTTGCACAATGTCATTACTCGTACCGAAAGTGATATATCATTTAGCATGCATGCATAGCTAGTTGCGTATATTCAATTAGCGCGCGGGCAATTTAGCATATTTTATTAATGCTCCCCTTAATCAGCGATTGTCAGCGTTTGCGGTCTGCTTTTAGAAGTTGACCTTAATTTGAAAATTCACTTTTCAAAATGAACCGAAGAAGAAACCACAATTAGAATTTGTACAAGCAAATGGATGCTGATTTTCTTAATTATACGGAGCGAGGAATAATCTCATGGAAACGCAAGTTTTGTGGCTGCTTGTTAGCGCATGAAAACAGCAGGCGAGCTTTTTTGAAGAATACAAATGATTATATAAATTCATATTTGTCGTGCAATATTCTTCGATAAGGCGAAATTATATATGGACTTTTTTGATATATGACATATCAGCTGGTAATTATGTTTCTTTGGACACCGTTTATAAATTGCTGTTTGTGTTTTCAATCAGGAAAATTGTATATTACAAAGTGAAATTTATGAAAAATAAGTATATGTGGATTTTGATTGAGGTGATAAAATTGAATTCTACCGTTTACTGAGACTCAAAAAGCAATATGGCAGAATGCATGTATTGTTTGTCTATATATATACACAGCAATTTTAGGCAGAATATCTTAAAAAATATATAGTACTGCAAATATATCTTTCCCCAAGCATACCCTATTTTGCATGAACTAACTGCATGTAATCAATCATAGATATAGTTGTCGTTTCATAGATATTTATAGCGTCAAAAAGAAAAAAACAACATATCTTTAGAAAGCATCTCACAGCATCTGCACGCGAAGGATCGCAAAAACATGTAATTTGTCATTCTTTCCAGACCAATCTCCATCAATTATCCACAACATTCAAAACTTCGAGGTTTTTTAAATTTTTTTTTCGCCTTTGGCTATATTGTATTATATATGTATACAGTATAGGAACAAAATTCCACTTGGAAAATGACACTTGTCGAAAGAATACTATTGGCGTTGCACTGAAATATATTTTATAAAAATTATGAAAATTTGATGCTTTAAGTATATATATACGAGGTCTTTATACTGCCCATATAGCAAAATAGTTTTTTAACTACATCTATATAAAACTATATGCATGTATATCCCAGTAAATAAACGCTAATTTCGCAAACAATAGTTATATATTACAGATATTACCCACCTATAGAGAACAAGCTTTTTTTCTTTTATTTTTCATTCATTTATATTGTTTATAGTTGTTCCGAAAAACGTACACAAAATTAAATATGCCTTCAGTCGTAAATCAGCTCCTTAATTTAAGCTGAAATATTAGATTTTTGATCGAATTATAGGTAATATATCCCCTGAATAAGCAACTCTTTCGTTTGTTTTGAAGGCGTATGGTCTTTAGAAAACTACAATACAATATTATACTATTAGCTTGCGTCTGTTCTGCCACAATTAATTTTCTTCGCAGATTAGGCGGATATCATATATGAATTATACGTATCAGTCGAAGGAAAAAAAATACTGTTGTCTTTCACAGATTCCAGACAGTCTGTTCGGGGCAAATATTGATATTTTTGACAGATATAGCCGCATAGTAGTGAGAATTGACCTTAATTGCAAAATGCAAATTTTCACAGAGTTCGTCAAGTGAAAAGCGTATGTCGTATGCCGGAGTTAAAGGTGAAAATTTCGTGTAAGCGACAGATTCACAGACGTCATAGATACGTTAAGTTCATGCACGCATACAGCGTTGTTTCCCTCCCGAGTTCTTACCTCCGCTAGAAACGTACTCTCCTGTGCTAATCGTATAGCCAGTCCTCTCCGACTCTTTGTCGCTGAAGCTGTCCTCCTCTACTCGATCATTGTCCGAGAAATTTATTTGAACGATCGGTAAGCTTGCTCGCTCCCTGTTCGGTAGGCTGAAGGTCCTCTTCGGGCGCACGCTCATCGCGGGAATGCTGGACGTACGGGGATTATTCAACGATTTACTTCGACCCAATTTGAGTTGGTGTACCGGCACGTCGAGATGCGTCGCTGTTCGTCCGTCTGGCCTCATGAAAACTGAAAACGCAATGCTAAATGGGAAAGTATAGATATGACGATGATGAATTAGCGTTACAATGCCTTCTGACAACGACCGATGCAAATTGCTCGAACTCTCTTTGTTCGCCTGCAAATTACATAGATTTCATCATAATAAAAGGTTGCGAACTTTGCGAGCTGACGCGTACGCACAGCAGCACACAGCTTGGATAAGCTTTGAGTTTTGCGGGTCTTCGCTGTCGGAACTACGAGACCCCGTCAGGCAGCTGGCCAGGAGGCATAATGATATTTGCTGGAAAATATGCTTTATAGCGAGCGCTGCATGGGCGTGAAAATGACAGAACATATGCAAAATGCGATCATGTGTTTATGTTGTTGAATTAATAATCGCGTGTATACCTGTATGACATAATAGCTTGTCAACGCGATGACATTCGAATATATGCATGTATAACCGTTTACGCGCATGCAATAGATTGTTAGTGACGAATGCGTTGACGCACGTGCTTGAAAACCACAATCCTTATTTCCTACAAAGCGCATATCTTAGTCAAAACCCACTACTAACTTTTAATCGTAAAGAAGGAACTGTTTAAACCTAAATACCACTATATGGATGAGATAGCACGAATTTTTGAGAGAATTTACATTGCACACAGCATAAAGCATTTAAACTTGTTTTTGTATATCGAAAGGCAATTTGAACTTTAAAATGTCTGACCTCATCTTGCGGTGAAAGTTTGACGTAAATTACCACGCAGTTAGACCTATAAACATAACTGTATATAATCTGCACACCACACGCTGTGTGCAAACAATAGCTTGGGCTATTTATATTGCACTTGGTTTTCAAATTTCCATATTTAAATTGGGAGGTATAGATCCTTCTATATTGGACTTCCTTATGGAGTGCTGATATTCGTTTTTTTAATTTTTTGTCGGATACAAAAAGCAATCACAGCAGAAAAATAATTGAATTTCATTAGGTTTATCTACTGAAAGATCTGTACAAAGAAAATATGGAGAACGCGTTTATCAGCTGAATATAAGCCTTTGAAAGAGCAGGCAGAAAAAACACTTGTGTATAAGCGAAAGGAATTAGGAAAACTGTCAAAACACCTGAATGTATATGAGACGGGGTCATATGTCGTGCCTGTCTGCTGATATGATAACTGAATGGTCAGAAAATATTGATTGGTGTTTGAACTAGGAGAAGCACTCATATAACTGATATAAAGCGTGTGAATGAACGCTCAGCGTTGATGCCAAGTTGGAAAAATAAGAGACATTTCTTGCCTTTTATGGCTATCATCCCCCTCCAAAAGCAAAACAGGACTCCAATTTTCATATTTGAAATATTGTGTCTGCATGCCAGATCCTTACCTATGCATGGCAGCCAGCCGACACGCTAGTCTAATGCTGTGTCGGAGATAAAGAATGTCGAGAAAAACACATTGCCCAGTATAACTGCTATAGCAGAAATCCTACTTGATACTTTGTCCAGACGTAAGTCAATGTTAAAGAGCAATAAAAAATGAAAATGATAACATCAGTGAAAAGCGCTTAATTTTATAGTGCATTCTAAATCTTGTTTGTTCAAAAATTGCGTGACATCTCCAACAGCTTAGTCAGTGTCAAATGGTATATCAGTTTATTTATAAAAGAGGATTTCTGTTAAGACGGATAGATAGACGTATATACATAACAATATTATTCATGAGAGTATTATGAGAAATCCCGGCTGTGTAAATACATTCGTGTTTTTCAAAGCAATCAGAGACGAACGATAGTTTAGGTATCGTATTTAGAAAGCATCATATATAGGCTCTCGCGAAATCTTTATTCTATTGCAAAGGAAGCGCGTTTTCTATATGACGCGTTTTTTATATAAATTGCGGCTTGCAATTGAATTGACTTTGTTGACCCATCATAAGTATATGATATTCAGTAGGGAACGAAAAATATGCGTAAAGTAATGGTCTTAACTTTACTGAAGTAATCCGGATAGGCCCAAGGATACAAAAATAGCTAAGTAATGAAATCGATGCGATCCATAATTTTTCCTTGAAGCTAGTCGATATATTATGCTTGCATTTCTCGTGTGAATGGATTTTACCTAAAGCATTTCGGCGCGTGTCACTTGGAAATTTCAACAGTATCTTATTTCATTCTGCGAAAAACAACGGATTGCATGTTTACAATCCTCGCGTAAACGGTATGAACGATCTGGGATCTGGTGCATGATATTTTATCGTGGAAATATCTGCACGACACTACAGCGCGTCTGCTGGGAGGTCAAGGATTGCAGATTGAATCACGTAATCTAGAACTTCTGCCAACATTTGATATATGAGCATATTCGATCGAGTTAGCAGCTCCCCTGCGCCCAATGATACGAGGCTCTCCGGACGAAGTATAGTTGATTATATCTTCGTCTGTCGCTGCTGTAGTATGCAGAGATTACCCTAATGCTGTGTGATAATCGATAAACAAAGATACCTTACATAAGACGCGACATACATATAGTTAGGTTATGGTATCGCAAATATCGGTTAGTCTAAAGTTATTTAAGTGAGCGAATTCTTTATCTAAGTACAGTACCTTGAACTCAGAAGCAAAGATTTACATTTTTTATAAATTCCTTTTATTTAAAGTGGCTCTGCAGTTATATGAAGCTTACTTGAGTGAACCTACGTATATTATAACGGTGTTCCTGTTAACGTAACTCTAAGAACGCCACACCCATATAACATAGCGAATCATATACAACTTGATTGAAAAGTTCTTCCGCACGTTCGTATATTAGGGTGTTCACTTCCCTATTTCGTTTATACCGCTTCGAATTTTCAGTAAAATATAGTTGAACATTAAACAGATGCAATGTGAATGTGACTTGGTTGTGAGAACTACCGTGGTGTTGATAAAACTGACCTGTTTTCTGCGGAATATCCTCCTGAATCGATAACGTCTATTTATATAATACGTCTCTTTGCGTGTCTGGCATGTAATTGATACACAACGTAGCAGTGTTCAGTTTATAACCGCAGAGTTACGCCGGGACATGCTCAAATGCATTCCTTGCGCGGGGTATGACGTCACCAGACGGTTCGGAAGTCCTGTCAAGTCCTAAGTCGTCTTTCATTACAATTTCATGCCAAGCCATTTGAGATGAGAAATTTTAATTGTGTATATTTAAAGTTGAATGTCGACTTATTCATGCACGTAGAAGCTAATGAACAGATGCACGCTCAATCATAAACGATTCGCCCCATATGAGACCGGGCCGTTCAAAGCTGCATCCTCGACCAAAATCCAAACTCTGTCCAGAGCTGACCACCCGGCACTCAATTTGCTCGTCTGCATTATATAACTTGTGAAATTCGACTGCTTACCTTTTATGTTACTATAAAACACTTGGAAGTACTGACACCGGTATAAAGACGAACGGTAGTCATAAAAATTTTCTTAACCGCATAGTCAGTCTAGATTATTATATGAAATCAAATTCGCGCTGAACATATTTTACCTGATGTAGGCTAATATAAACGATTGCAAGATGATATTGCGCAAGATAACCTTGATCGAGGATTTTGAAAGTATACCAGCATGTCACGCGTGTTTTGAAACTCTGAAATGAAATGCCTTGCCATGCCTGTCTTTTGTAAATTTATGTCAGTCCGCTCGGTTTTGTAAATTTATGAAGGCAAACCGCCAGCCGCAAACGGCAAATTTAGTCAACTTTTTGCTGATTAAAGTTGGGACAATTTGTCGGTGCAATATGAAGTATGGAGTGTGAACTACTGTCTATGGCGAAATCTTGCAGAGTTTAAATTCAAATGCAATTTAGAGTTTGCCGATAGCGGTTTGCCATGAAGTGAATCTGAAGGTCTTTCGTGTAATAAATCCCATCATTGACGAGTTAGCTTTGAATAATTATGTCAAGTCACTCAAGTGGCTCTTGATCGGTGTTTAATGGCAATTATTTAGCACTGCGCGATGAAGATACTTAGTGTAGAGGTTCGCGTTTATGTGTTGAACGACTACAGCCGTCAGCCAAGCGAAAATTTGCTAAATTTAAGCGAAAATCCTGCAGGTAAAAGAATCTATACGAAGGAACCTCAGTTCATATGTTCTTTCACGACCTAGCTATAAAACAAAGGGTTTTCCCTAAACCAAAATATATTTGATTTGTTGATATCCAAGGCAGGGAACTTAGAAGAAATGTATTACGATTAGTATATTTTCACACCCTTGATATTCCAAACAAAATGCACCCACATCACTCATTATCGCTTATATTAGCAATGAATTTGAGCCATATGTGTGTATCTGTCCGACTGACATCCTACCAAGTATATCACATTGTCATAAACAAACCTATTTGCATTGAAAGTGAAAGAAAATCACAAATGACGTAAGGCATACCTGCGAAAGCTCGGTTAATCTTTGCGACTTTGTCACCACAACGAGTTTCTGAACTCTGAACAGCCGTAGAGCTAGAGCCGTTTGAACAGTCGTTGCTAAATCCAAATGCGGTCTCGTATACGACGGAACTGATAGCTGAGCAGACTGTCTGTGTATGTGCAAGTGCTTCGAAACACTCTGTTTTTAATTAAGAATACGAGAATAGAAAAACAAGGCGATTTTGATCAATTTGAGGATGAGACTATGAGAAGATAAATCAACGCTCTCTGCAGTAATGAGTTGCAGATGAATTGAGTGTAAAATGTAATTAAAAAAGCGAAATGTCGTTTAGGCTGAAACGATGCAGGCTAATTTTTTTCAAATTATGATTTCTTTATGTTGATAGATATGTTAATTCGTGAACAATTGCATTTCTATCGTAAAATCTGCATGATCATTGTTTTTCGTATTGTGCCATTTTTATCTCGGCTGGTTCAAATACAAACTATATTCGACCTTAGTTCAGACCCTGAACTTTTCACGAGCAAAAACCAATATTAAATCTAAACTCTTTGTTTGAGACCATTTGTCTCGAAGGTTCAAAAGGGGCTAGCTCCATCTAGATTACTCGGTCAAGGTTTCGTTTTTAAAAAGTAAGAGAAAACTTGATTAATACGAGACAGAGGTGCATCCGTGCATTTAATCATGTGATTTAATATAATTCAATCTCACTGTTCCTACGCGTATTTCTAAAACAAGACAAAATACGCATTATTTTATATACGCATTACTATAGCAACTGGCTGATTTTAACGATCTGAAATTGATAAAAAATTAAGGTAAAAGTTTTTCGAATTTTAGTTGATCGCATGCAAAGAACATATTCATCACATCAGGTTTGATCTCCAACCTCTCAACCCCAGCAACGTAATTTTCCCAGTGTATGATAACCAGACTCTCTTTCTCCGTTACTGTGTTGATGACCATCAGCATCTCCAAATCTCAGTTCAGTAACAGGCAGCGTGTTCTTGTCTGTCAGGTATCCACTGTCTTCACGCCATGCGTAGTCATTCTTGTCACAATTACATTTGTGTCCACCTGCACAGCTGTTGGTCATTCCACATGAACATTTTCCACTGTCGACTGCCGCTCCACCCCAGTAATTCATCTTTGAACCTTGACGTGATACCCACCAAGCATAACCATTGTTTAGAAATAAAGTTTCGTAACATTCATACTTTATAAACTGCTCGCAATTCTTGGACTGCTTCATAATGGCAACAATCTGCTCCATGGAAATTTCATATTTAATCTTTCTCTTGTAAGAACCTGGAGCTTCATATCCATCTACAAGTGTTCTTGATTCGCTGTCATGTCCAATCACTGTCACACCAACACCATTCTTTGAAGTCATGTCACAAAATACTGAAACTAAGAGTCCTTGAATGGGACTCACCAAATACGTTCCACTATCGGCTGTAGGCCTCGTTTGTCGTAATGTTGAACAAGAAGGATAAATTTGTAAATCTGTGGAATGTAACACACTTTATTACTAAAGATTCATATCGAGTTGATGTTGATTTAAAGCAAATTATATGTTATTGTCAAGATTATTAATATTCGTTGTTTTTTAGATTTAGTGAATCGTTTAAGATTTTTCCCAGATAACGCGGGTTTGTCGGCTAATCATTGTTTTCAATGATATGCAACTCCTTGAGTTGATCGGTATTCCCAAAATTTCGACAATAACACCATTCAGAGAATGCAGGAGCTGATAATTTTGGGTGGCATTTACATAAAATTTCCACCGTCGTCTGTAGGAACCGTTGTTCGTAAGGTTGAATACGGGTAACTTTAAAATATCTGTGAAGCATGTAACGCTTTGTTACTATAGAGCTTAAAGTGTAAGTTAAGTCCATATGTAAACGAACCTTTAAAATTGTGGCGTCAATCGCGGCTCATGTCTTGATATCTAACATTATTTAGGTTAGCTACGCTTCTAAATGAACTTGAGTTTATGACTTGTTCAGAAAATACAAAACATGCAAATTTGGGCAATTTTTACATTAAACGACCCTGAGTGAGCAGAACCTCAGATTTGACCTGAACTTTAACATGTAGACAATGATACGAAAAACTGATTCCATTCACCCTCTTTGACGCAATCTTCACACAGGTAAAAGTCGTTAATTTTTTTAAAAAGCCGTCTTTAGAATGCATGCATGCGGCGTGTCTAATTTAAATGCATCAATACGTTTCTGAATTACCCTTTTCTAGCTTCTTTATCAAGTTCCCTTGAGTTTGGAGTTGTGTTTCTAGACTTTTAACTTCTTGCTGTAATTGTCGAACCTGGAAGAATAAAATGAATACTGAGCATTTCCATATTTATAACAATTTTGCATAAAAATACTGTCAATAAACGAACTTGATTACCTCTCCTTCATTATCTAATGGTTGCCACTTTGATCCATTATTAACATAAAGTTGTTGATTATCTTTACGATACGAGAGAAGACCAGGAACGTTTGGGATCTTTTTAAACCTTTTTTTGTCGGCTACAGTCATTGTCTACATGAAATGTTTATAGAGGACTCATGTTGATCATTAAAGTTTCGGGTTTACTCCTGACTGTACTCATCTCTACATGTTCCTCCCACCATTCCTCTCAATTTACATGAAGTATACTTGTAAATGTTATGAGCCCTCAATCTGCTGTTTTTTTCATTTTGCTCCTTAAAGTTACCTGTGCTCGTCTTCTCTTCCTGTATTTATGTATCTATACATATACTTACACCCTCGTTGAGAAATGTCTTAAATTGCTCTGAACAGGAACCCTTAACAAATTAAATCAGGTGTTTAATTTATTTTTTTCATTCTTGGGCTGTTTCCCCCAAACCCTCACCTTATGTGCAGTACCAGTTCTTGGATCAATAAAATATTTCTCAGATACGCCTGCTGAATTCTTCATGGAAAACTCCATGCATCTTTTCCAAAGTCTTTCTGGCACTCTGTTTCTCACCCAAAACCAAACAAAAACATTCTTCATTACTGTTCCTCCATTGATTGAAGTACATCCAGGACCACAGTAGTTTTGTCTTCCACCTTTCGGACCAAAACATCCGCAACACTTGAAAAAACACGTGAGAAGTAACTTACACCAAGATGTATAGTTATAACACATTGTTAATTTTTGTCTTTTAAGTTGTTGTTTTTGATCAAATGACACTGAAAAAATTTTAACAGGTGTGCACAGGCTTTCGGTCATCTGACTATTATAGCGTTACTGGAGTGCTTTCGTCTTTTAGTATTTCAAATAACCTTTTTATTATTTCAAATAGTCTCTTTACTCACTTTCCCGTTATCGCATCCAAGGAAGGCTGTGGAATTACGTCCCATACCAGTCAAAGCCGATACGGCGCTGTAACTATATAATTACTTTGCTGTAAACTATATATCTGGGAACTATTACCGAATCCAGGACCAGCATAGACAAGCCTTGTCACAAATACAAAGTTCTTGTTGCAGTTCCACGTTATATATGACATTATGATATACTTTTAATGAATTCTGGCAATACTTTTAATAATTTGGTTTTTTTTCTTGGCCTTACATTAAAACCTTACCTAAAAGATCCATATTGAGTATATTGAAATGAAAAAGGACCAGGAATTACACCATATCCTTTCTTGCAAGTATTACGAAGACAATAGTTCATTCTTGCCTAAACGATATTAATACAGACATTAGTTTCTCTTTTTACTTTCATGGAAGAAAATTTCTTCGCAAATGTTTTCTCCCAAACATTACTGATATTCGAGGTTCATTAATATAGGTTTGATGTAAAATTTTTGTGTACAGTAGAATGATATTCACCCATCCCAAACTATTGTGAGTGTGAGGCCCAAATATGGAACATTTAAAATTCGTCGTAGTGATGGAGT